CACACACACACACACACACACACACACACACACACACACACACACACGCACACACAAATATCAAAATGTTCAGCTCTTTAAGGACATTCCTCCTATGACTTTTCTTGTATCAATCTCTTATGCTTTTTGAATTATTAAGCTTTTTGCAATTTTCTTTTGAATGGGATCTCTATGGAGAAAATCTTCAAATCCTCTTAAACTTTAAAAGCTTTCTTCTTCCTCATACTTTCAGCTGCAGACACCATTTCAACTTTAAAATGTTGACAAAACGTTGAGCTATTTACTGTATTCAGCTTTCTCAGTCCTTTTCTGACTTTACAATGGGTGTGTATTGCGCAGCTCAGAGTGCGTGATGTGAAGTGGGGCTTCAGAATATTTCTATTTTGCCACGGATTCCACAATTTTCACTCTTCATGCATAATTTTGGGTAGAAAAGTAGCTAATCGTGTCCTCGTCATAGAAAAATGACTGTGGAATCCAACAGATTTACACATTTGGTACTACAGCCTCTAATTGAGAGGAAAACCAACTATCTGCTCAGACCAATGGTAATTCTTACTTCAAAAAAATCTTGCACAGACAACCGTACAACATTTCTCAATCGCCACTGAAGCCACTTTTTTTTTTTACACTACAGACACAATTTTCACAGGATCTGTTCTTCAAGTCATCCTTCCTCTCCAGTTCTAATATCGGAGCAATAGGAGCTACGCTTATGGGGGTTTTGAGGATTTGTTTGACAGGTGTTTCACAGCTTTATCTCCATGTAAAGGCTGCAGGCACACAGGTGTTTTTGATTGAGCTAATTAGTGAAGCTGAAAAACACTTCCTTATTATATTGATAATCTCAGGTGACTTTACACTCTTTTCTACCACTCACACTGCAACAGCTTGATGTCTATGAGCATCTCCAGGGTTAGCAGCACCACCACCAGAATGACACAGGCCACCAGGAAACAGTTGAAGCCCACCGACAGCAGGCAGACCTGCCACAGCGCTGCCCTTCGCCCACAGCATGGCTTTAGCCAGTTCGACCTGACCAGGGGGAGAGGGGGTGAGAGACAGAGAGGGGAAGAAAATGTGGTTAGAGGAGCTGCGTGTGCAAAGATAAATGGGACTTGTTGCGGTGTTATTTCAAAATGTAATACTGGTACAGAGTGCGCGTCTGACAGGCAGCATGCAAGGCCAAATCAATAAAACACAAGAAACGTCAAGATACACAAATCATGAAGTGTATTCAACCTTGACTTTGCTGTTTTCTATCAGTCAATCTTCTTCTAAATATTTCTCAGCAGAGGGCACTATTCTGCATACAAATTCAGAGCATGCCCGCTAAAATTAATTCACTCTCTTAAATGTGATGGGAAGCATAAATACATGGCACTGAGATGATATATTAGTATGAAGTAATTCATATGAATTCATAATATCCCCCCCCCCTCATAAAACCGTTTATTCTAACCTTTCCTGCAACCCTCCACTTCCCGGTAAAGCTCTCATTTTGTACGCAGTGTAGTCGTCTTACTGTTACAGCCATTCCTTTTTGTTTGCCTATTTTTGGAAATGGATTACATGACATCTGTTGTAATCCAAATTTGAGCATTAAATATTTTGTTTTCTTCCTATCTGAACATGCTTGTGTGTATAAAGCACTAATAGATTTAATTATTGAAATATCAGAACATCTATAAAGGAGGTGATACCTGACTCCGTGGTCTTATCGTCTCTAGATTTATTTTGACATGATACACAACTATAACCTTATAATATAGTTTAGAGTTTAGAGTTTCCTGTGTTTAATTCCCCTCCCTGCTGCATCACTGGGCGACTAGACAGCTCTCTGAGTAAAAACTGGCCAGGTTGCCCATCTGGGCAACTGTTTAGCTAACAACCAGGCTGGTAGTTAGCTCACTGGCTCTACTCTTGTTGTAGCTCTGGAGGACTGAGTAGCTGACCACGTGGTGTAATTCTCTTGGCATGACAGTGGGGCTGCATGTGCACCATCTGGAGGGTGTAGTCGCACCTGGCTGGCTGGCTTTTGAGAGACCATCACTCATAATTCCTGAACCTAGAATGTGTCATTTCTCCCACTGGTTAAGCAGCGACTGCTTTATACACCTGCCTCCACATTGCTATGTATTTTCCATTCGTTTGGAGTGTCCTCGTGTCCCTCTTGTGCCGGCTCCTTGTCCAGGTACATTGGTTCTGAAGATGTGAGTGTCTTACCTGCCTTGAATCCATACCAACTCTCCCCTTCAAGTTCCACCAATCAGAAACTGACTGACTGAGACTCTTGGGGATTTATGGTCAATAAATAATGACACATTTTCAGAGGCACACAGGGCTTTCCCTTCCTGTCACAGCTCTGCATTCCACGCACAAACGAAAGGCAGTAGGTTTCGTAAAAAAAAAAAAAAAAGCCATCTGTCGTGACCTGTCCCCCATAGGAGGAAAGCTACTGGCAATGTCTGTCAGAGGACAAAAGAGGATGCAATTTATTCTACTCTCCTCTTGGTTCAGTTCAATATAAAGAAGGCAAACACAGAGAGGAAGCAGGGTGCAGCTGGTTCAAAGGCATTGGGACTTATCCAAAAGTGAACTGGAGAGAGAGCCAGGGAGGAAGGAGGGGGAGTTGGAGAAGGAAGAATGAGAAATAAAGAACAGAGAAAGATGCAGATTGAGTTGAAGGATAATTCCACTTTATTGACTTCGGCCTTATTTGTCGTAATTTTGGCCTCATCCTCTTGGTTAGTATTACCAATAGGAATGATGGCCAAAATTACAACAGTTTTGCACTCACCAAGTTAATTGCTAAGATTTGTGTACGTGGCAACATTGATTGACAAGAGGTCCAAACAGGCATGAAATACTAACGGTCAGGTATGAGGTTTGACTCCCAAGTTAGCTAAACCTATTTGGAACGAGGGCTGCGACCACTGGTCATTTTCTCAAATAATTGATCAATTGATTAGTCTATAAATGATCAGAAAATAGCAAAAATGTTTGTTGCAATTTCCTTAACCACAAAATTACATTTTCAGATATCTAGTTTTGTCCAAAACCCAAAACCCACTTTATTACGTTAAAAGACGATGAAAAGTATAAAATCCTCATATTTGAGGAGCAAAAAATAAGGGATGTTTGCAACTGTGGCCAACTGTACTCGTACTATGAGGGGTTATCATTGACATTTTGGGCACATTCTGGTTTCTTACAAATGACTTTGGTGAGCAGGAATTATGGCCAAATTTCTAAAAATAATACTAAAATATAATAAAAGTTAACCGTTAACCTCGGCTGTAGCAAAGCTACACATCATCTCCATCCTTCACCAAGGTCAGCAGAGAGGCAGGAACTTGCCCATGTTTTGTCAATGCTCTCCCAGAGGCTAACCGGTGCAGCAACCCTCAGTACCAGCCAAATGCCAACAGATTAGTGGCTCAACGCCTGCAACCAAGAGGTGGTGGAGGGTAATGGTATCATTAGCAGATACCATGGAGACTCCCAAGCACCGATTTGTTCCCAAGGAACAATGTCAAACCCCATCTGCCAGTGGAGGAGAGCCAAGAAAAAGAAACATTTACCTAAAGACACGCCGAACACACAGTCATCGCACATTTATGGACCATTATTTAGAAGACGGAATGAGCAGCACACACACCAAGAGACACCTCACTTACCTTCAGGACTGAAAAGCACGATTCAACTCATACTGTGTGGAATAATTCATTCAGACCTCTCCCACGAGCCAGGCAGAAAAGGTATTAATTTAATAAACCTGGAAAGAAAAACCCTGTCTGGAAGCAGAGTAAATGGCAGTGATGGATTACTCCATGCTCGAAAACTTAATTTTAGGAAAATCACTTTAAACTTTGAATGCTGAGTACCTGAAGTATTTATGAGAAAGTGAGGCTGCTTCAGTGGTGGAGCAAGTCAAGGAAGGACATCCCCTCACTCTCTCCCAGGGTCACGGTATGTGCGGATCAAATAGGCAATACCTTTAGGGTAATGCACAAATATGTGTGTGCACAGGCAAACATCACACGCACGCATGCCTGCATGTGCACGCACACACACACACACACACACACACACACACACACACACACACACACACACACACACACACACACACACACACACTGTTAAGAGCAATGCGTGGAGGAAATTAGAGATTTAAGTTGGCATGTGTTGTGGACAGGTTCATAAAGACATCCAACAGGCCAGCAGCTGCAGTGCTGAGGGAAAATCGAAGTGGTCTCGACAGCAGTGCAGAGCGAGGGGATTAGATCATGAGACCGGTCAATAATGGCCTCAGATGGAAGTGAAGGCATGCTGTACATCACATCGGCTGCAGCGGGCCCTTGCAGCCGAATGGCCAGGCTCAACAGAGTTGACAGAGACGTCAGGCAGAGTGACTGGCGCAGAGGAAGGTGTCTGGTCGCTCTGTTGGGCCCATTCACACAGACGGTACAGAGCTTTGGCTCCAGCCCCAGCTAAGTAACTCTCACTGAGGTGGGGAGCCTATCACAAGGTGCATTTATTTCATTAAACTGTCTCCTGTAATTGAGACACAGTAAAATACAAAGTAAAGCCATTAGATAGTAGTTAAATGGAAATTAAATCAGAGAGGCGGTGCTCTGTTTGTGTGTTTGTGAGTTAAGAGATTGAGTGAGAGAAAACGGAAAGGCTGCAAAGGGAAAAATTCATTGAGAAGTAATGAGTCTCAAAGACTCTATCAACTCATCTGAGGTATTGATTGAAACACACACACACACACACACACACACACACTTACACACAAGCAATGAACAGATGCAAATACCAACCTCTCCCTCAGAATGTTTGCAAAGGAAAGCCTAAAATAGTGTCGCTCTGAACGACACTGCTGTGCAAGGCCTCTAAATAATTGATTGCAACTCTTGATTGATGTCTTGATTGCACATTTACAACAGAGCACATTTTCTCAGTGATAAACTCCAGAACATTAGGCTACAGACCTGTCGCAGCCCTCACACAATTAAATTTGCTTCCAAAATGATTAATCATGCTATGAGTCTAAACACAAATCTTTACATGGCCTAGACATCTTCTCACTGTGCCTTGTGGCCATCCATTCATTTATTCAAGCACACCTAACATTTTTACTTTTGTTGAAAAAGATGTACATTTTTAGAGGCACTTTTTTGTCAAATTTGTCACCTCAATGAAGTAGTTCCTATCCTATTTGGCCCTTGCCATGATACTACTTGACTCAAGTTTTCTGTCTCCTATCAATTACTCTCTCTCTGCACTGATAACTACATAGTCTTGTGGTTCTCCAGTACAAACTTCTACCAATTCACACCAATCTGCTGAACTCAGCAGGCTCAGGCAGGGGAAAATGGACCACAACTGTGCGCCTGCAGGCTATTGAACAGCTGAGGCCATTCAGGCTCAACATTAGACTTGCTCCTTGACTTACTTTATACATTTGAAAGAGGCATTTCTTTTAATCCCTGATATATGCATTTTTTCTCACTCAAGAGCTTATGTTTCCTGAGAAAGCATAGGTGGGGCATCTGACTAGATTGCTTAAAAATCAAGACAAGTGCCAGCATTGGCTCTAAATCCTTTCCTGTGTAACCACTGCTGAGTCATCTGTGTTATCACAGCCAAAAGAGGCAAAGAAGCCCAGAGAGGAAAACCAGCTAAGCAATAAATATGCTGAACAAACTGAAGTTATCATAGGTAATCAATTGCACATTTTACTTCCGCGTCTCATCGCTATTAATCTCTTACAGTCTCACGCCTGGGGAATCAGCAAACACTTTTGCTGTAAATTGACAAATCAAATAAAAAAGCCTAATCAATTACAGATGCTATGAACACATTTTAGGCTTTAGCATTCCCTGTGAGTAGGTAAACTTTTTTTTTTTTAACTTCTTTTGAAAATTCAGGCAGCTTTCCAGTATAAGCAGCCCTTTCCATTGGTTTCCAAGCGCGATCAGCTATCATCTCTGCACTCCTTGCATCCAACTCCATGGTACAACCTAGCAGAGGGAACTCTGAGCTGGTCTTCGCCAGAGAAATGGGCCACAGATACTGAGCAAATGGAGATGGCTGGGGCTCCATGTGCAGAGCAGCAGACAAGCTGTCCCTGATAAATGGGTTTTCACCAGGACACTTGATCTCTCTCGCTCTCAGCCTAAAAAGCAATCTCACACTTTGCATGTCTGTGAATATTAACAAACCCTCAAACCCTGCACTCAAATGTCATCTATTGTATCGCACATGGTGCCAGGCAAGAGAGCCAATTTGATGGAGAGGACTGTTCCTCTTTGGGTTTGAAATAGAGTCGGGGGGTGGGGGGAAGAAAAGCCTGTTCTTTTTTCTGACATCCATCAACACAGAACAGGTAGTATAGCTGTGGTTTCAAAGCCCCATGAAATATTGCTGTTGCCAAGATTCATACTAGACTCTGGCAAAGGTCCGTCACTGCTATTTTCTACAGTCTAGATTTATTTATTTATTCCATTATACTTAAATCTTGAGTATTGTCAACCTAGGTGTGATTATGTGCATATCGACTGCTTTATTAATGCATTTTAGTGATTAGAACTTTATTTCATATGGGAAGTCTGAGTACTGTTCAGCAATGTCTAGGTAACTCTAGGCTGGTCTGGGCTCACTACTGCTTATCTAATACCCAACATTTCACCAAACACTGTATTAGCTAACTGTGGCTGTCACCATGCAATGAGGCACAGGGTTAATCCCACAACACCGTCCAACATGAACAGATAGGACACTCTTCAAATGGATCCATTTCCTTATGACCTGCAGTCGGCAGCTTTGTGAATGAAAGTGTGGAGGAGGGTCTTCCTTCCTCCATCCTTCTCTTCATTTCCTCCACCTCCCCTGTCCTCAAGTTAAAATCAGCAGGTTGACCCTTATGAACCATATGTCATTACAGCAGTGCCTCACACCTCTCAGCTTGGCCCCTGGAGATCAACGGCATATGCTACTGCTGCTGTGGGCAGCAGGCTGATCTGGAGATGATAACCAAGGACAACTGCAGGATGTGAAGCACGGGGTCTCGAGACTGGGGCCAGGCAGGGAGGTGCGGTCATGATTAAGGTGGAAGAAAATCTCACCACAGCACCTTACTACTTTGTTCAGACCAGTAAAATTGAATTGCATTCACAAGGGCAGTGTATAAAAAAACAGCAACACAGATTTATCATGATTCAAGTCCTCCGAGTATGCTGTGATCCTCAACATATTCTGAAATGACTAAAGAACGGAGTTCCATCAATTATCTTTTCCATTATCTTTCACAGTTTTTCCTGTTCAGCGTCGCGGGCTGGAGCCGATCCCAGCTGACATTGGGCGAAAGTCGGGTACACCCTGGCCAAGTCACCAGACTATGGAAGGGCTTACATACAGAGACGGACACACTTTTACGCTCACATCCACACCTACAGGCAATTTAGATTAATTAAACTAAGCTCCATCTCTTTGGACTGTGGGAGGAAGCCGGAGAACCTGGAGAGAACCCACGCTACCACGGGGAGAACATGCAAACTCCACACAGAAGGCCCGTCTAGCCCAGGAATCGAACCCCAGCCCCTCTTGCAGGGTGCTATCTACCACACCACCGTGCAGCCCTGGAAGCCATAGAAGGGAGTTATTGGTGACAAAACTAATTTTTGGCAATTGAAAATGACCTGTGATTACAACAACAGATGAAACAGATGCATACTCCATCATGTTACTTCCAAAAAGAGTGACTTTGTTTATGCTTTGCGCACACACAAACAGCTATTGTCACTAACACTAATTACACACGTCTATTAGATCTATTATGTTGGTTAGGTTGCTACAGTTTAATCAATACAGTAACATGACAAAGCATTCAAATCCACTTAAAAAGCTAATATTCTGTAGTTTGCAACAACATTACCCATTATTTAAAAAGACAGCTTTTAAATGATACAAATGAGACACTACTTAAGCGATTAAAGGTGGATGTGAAATTACCCTAATCTTGGACTTTCCAGCAAGTTCTGTAGAAGATGGTACTGCCAAAATCTATTAATATCTCCATCCAGCTCACTACTGCATAGAATCTGCAAGGACTGCGTGTGCCCCTTGTAGACCGCAAGAACATCCACCTCCTACATAATCGCCCACGCCTCCTGATAAAGAGCCACGAGGAGCTGCCATGCAGGACTATATGCGCACCTCTGGTGTGTATTATTTAGCTCATTTTTTCACAACCATATGTAACAAAATAAAACCAAGGCCTCACCATCGAAATATTTAGGAATGATCTCTTACTTATCCCATCACTGACCATTGATATAAAGCTATTCCTTTCACCTTCATGCTTTTCCTTTCACCATGTCCAGATCCCAACCAAAGCCCTGACCAGAGGTCAATATAAACTTTACGAACTAAAAAATAATTATATTTATCATCAAATGGAAATCAGTGCTCACCTGCTCATATATCTACAACCACAGGATAGAGTCACGTCCACAAAATGAAATAACTAAATATGAAAAACCTTCTCAGGAATGTAAGTCATTGTAGCTTGAGGAAACAAACCTGCTAATCATCAAAATAAATGCCCAAAGTCACTGCAACAAAAATAAAGTGGGTATAGATTCTTGTACACAATCATTTACAAAAGTGCTAAAATTAGCCTGCAGAATGCAGGGGAGTCTCCGTGATGACACATTCAGATAAACAAGAGCAAAATAGTTTACAGAGCAAAGTAAACCAGCTAGTTCATTGCCTTGCCATTAGGGCCTCTGTGTCATTCCACTGATGTTACACACATGAATCACAAAGGCAGCCAGATTCTGTGGCGACAAGCTGGCTCTGTTGCTTTTTCCAAGAGCGCTTCCAAAAGATGAACGTGTGAATGAAACCGTGATGACAGGTATGTCTTGGAATGCCTGTGACCTGAAAATCGTGAATTCCAATCTAAAAAGCTCACTGAGCATACTGCAACATTCACTTGGGTGTCAGATTGCATGCTGTTTTCACTAGTCTGCTTCCTGGACTCTGAGGAAGGTGTTTCTCTGCTAAGAATGAATGTCGACTTACTTTTCAAGAATATTCACATTGTTGACTTGATGAATCCCTCAGAGACATGTCTTGACACTGCATGACTTTTCCACTGCAAGATGCCAAATTCCAGGTGACCAGGGTGTCATATGGTGCTGTGTGAGAGTGCCCACTGTGATGATAATTGAGCTGGGATGCCAGATCCTGCCCTCTGCTGTGGCATTGCTATGTACGCATTTTCTGCCCTTTTTGTGAGCAAGACGAAGTGAGGAAGCTATGAAGTACTATGAGAGAGTGGGTGTTTGGGACAGGACCCATCTGTCCCTGCCCTCTGTCCCACAGAGCCATCGGCCCGGACCGGGCCAGACCAGGCAAAGTCCAGCCGGACATGGTCAGCTGACACACCGGGGCTTGGATGGCGAAATGGCGGATGCTCTAATTAAGCTTATGCTGTTTGACGAATTTCTCTGCATGGATGCCAGCATCACAGCATGCCAAAGGGTTGTGAGTCACGCTTCCTGAGTGGAGAGCCACGGACACTTGCTACAGGGGTGCTCCAACAGGGGCGTGTCCTATCCTGAGCGTACTGAGCCTGCAGCATGGTGATAAGAAAACAACACAAACCCTGGACAAGCAGGCCTCATGGACAGAAACAGCACCGCCACAGGGCTCTGACATTTCAGGAAAGCTATGGTGCTAACAACACTCTTTGTTTTCTGCCAGAAATCGACATTATAAACAGAAGCCTGTCTGGTAGTGAGAAATTGCTGTGTCATTGAGCTGAAATGAACACATCAGTGGAGACATTGTCCATTTAACATGGTGACACTAATAAATTCATAGCCAAATATCCTCGACTCACGGACTCTAATATAAAATGAGGGGTGATTCACTACGCCAGGTGTAATTACCATGTGCAATAACGAGCAATGGGAGAGGGATGGCAGAGCTTTTCTCTGCCAGGGTAGATTATAGATTGTGGTAATTGCGATTCTGCCTTCATTATGGATGTAGCACTTTCCCGCAACATCCCCAACACCATATTTCTAGTATCTTCTTATGATGGCCAACATCAAGAACATCAATCAATATGTAATTACACTTTGGGCTTTTTAGTATATAAATTAATTACAGAAAGATTTCATTGATAATCATGCTACTCATTTTATTTCCAGCGTCCTTAAAATGTATGATGTTTGATATGCTTCAAACGATGAAAGAGTTCACTGTTATTGAGCTTCACAATCCTTGAATGCAGTCCCTCTTTTTCTACACGACCACACTCAAGTTGCTGTTTCAGGCTAGCCAAAACCTCTCACAACTAGAGGTTGTTTTACTGGCTGTGGTCAAACTACTATAAAGCAACAACAGAAAGTGAAGGGTGCTGTCGAGGTGTATTTGTGGTACGTACCCCTCTCTGTTGTCCTCTTCGTCTGGGTTCGAGATGAGCTGGGATCCAGCGAGGGATATGTCCAGGGCGGCCAAAGGCAAGTCTCTGTAGGCGAAGCTGACCAGCTGGACAGGCGCCATGCACTGGTTGTCCTCCTCCACCTGCTGGGAGATCACCTCCAGCTCCGAGGCTCCGGCCTTGGGAGGAGCCCTGTGGTACACACACACCACAACCAGAGCAACATCAGAGTCATGTATAATTTGTGAGTGTCATGTTTAACTCGGTATACTTTAGCTAATGTTTTTTTTCTGCAAAGGCAGTACAGTGCAAGGTTGTACGGAAGTGTGTTGTTTATTTGAATTAACCAGTGCACCCACTTGGGAAATGCTCCAGATAGCAGAGTGTGATAATAACTACTGGGACTATGCTTCATTTTGATGAATGAAAACACAAACATGGTGTGAAATACCTTGTTTGCAGTGTTTTCTGGCGCGCTCAACAAGGGCACATTTACCTGGCAAGTGATAACAAGCTGATCTACATTTCTAAAGGCAGACTATGAAGTGAAGTCTCAATCCACAGTAAATATGGCAATTAGCATTCTCCGAATAAGGAAATATTACCATTAACAATATATCAACTTAAACGACGACTCATGTATACTTTACATTCTTCATTGATGTTTGGAATGATTGCTATTCATCACTACAGACTGAAACTCAAACTTGAAACTTGCTTGAGATGAATGATCATTACAATGAAGAATTTGATGCATTTGCCTTTTCACCAGCAGCTACCATTTTGAAAACTCTCTGTGTGTACTCAAGGATCCTCCAACACCTGATATTTCAGAATTGGTTGCCATTTAAACTGGCACTCTTTTTACAGCATTCACTCTCCAGCATTTTCATTTCTGTAAACATTGTGCGACTACTGAATAGTTAAGACAGAATTACCAGTTAATAAAATGACTAATGACATGCCTGTTTTCACTGATGGCTTACCTAAGTTTATATTTGACAGAATAATGAAATTAATGGAAACCAATGGCTGCTGGAAATCAATATAAAAACCCATAGCACGTGTCAAGACATGCAAAACTAGCAGCATCATCTTACAATTTTTTTTTTTTTTTAAATGGGCTAAATTACATTGGAGTGCACAAAAAAAAACTTGTTTCAGCTTTGTTTTCCATTCACTGTATTTTCTTTGTGAGGTTTGTTATATTCAGCAGAACCAGACAAAGTGTCATTTTATCTGCCATTGAGGTCCTGAAACTTGAATGCGTGGTGAGGACTATGATCCTTCAAGCTCAGCCAATAGCGGACAAGGAGAAGTCACCTTGGAACAGGAGTCTCAAAGGGCTTGGCAGCTGTCCCAGTGCAGCCAGCGTGGAGACATCAATAACTCCAGTGCTTAACAGTGGAGGAAGGCCTTGATTACACGACAAGGGAACAAAGGCCATTGGCTTGGTGAATTCTACAACCTCTGAGCTGGAGGTGAAACTGAGTGGGAGGAGACAGTTAGTAAAGATCACTGAGCAGACCCACCTTCCAGTTAAATGTTAATTTAGGCAGGGCAGGAAAGGAATCTAGGTCTTTTTCCTGACTTACTTCTTGACTAATAGTGGTGCAATGGACTCTTTTGAAAGGTTATTTTGTTATTCTCACACAAAAACAAGAATCACTTGAACTATATCAACTTAAAATGGCACAATAGGACGATGGAACACAAACTCTTTTTCTTGTGTCCTCACTACATTAAATGCCTTGCCCTTCTTCTTTTCGCTATGCGTATCCTGCTAGATGTGTTGTTTAGCCTGAGGGTCAAACGGCCATATATTTACATGCACGCCACAAAACCCAGTGTTATCTGTGGACTTGGCACCTCTGACCAACCGCAACAAGGACGCTAATCCGTCATGACACACACAAACTGTTCAGTGCATCAAAATCACATTTCCAGACAATCACAGAGTGGGCCAGGAGCCATTATGTGCAGAGCCCAGTGGAGTGGCTGGTTGCCATCCTGGGGAGGGAGTGGAGGCTTCACATCTGAACACCACCCTTCAACAATGCAGGCAAGGACAGCCAGTAGCCTGCTAAAGGCTGTGATCTTTTCAGAGGCCTGTGATATTAGCAACGCCAAGAGGACGCAAAAAGGTTAACATAGAGCATGCATGGCTTGAGGGGAAATCTCGTATAGATATCCCATATAGAATAAGTGCTAAGTCTCATCATGAAGCCCAAAAGGCTCAAAGAATATGCTTCTACGCGAGCTAATGTTACTAAAGGTCTGGTCACTATAAATCACCATGCAGTGATCAACACATATATAAAAACCGAATAACACCCTGCATTCAGAGAGACTGCCCAGTAACATATTTCTTGAAAATACATACAAGAGCGCCTTTTTTCACTAGGGCATCTTCAATAGGAATATCTTCACTGCAATACTCAGTGGTTCCATAGATCTGGAGTTTAAATGAATCTCACTTGTAATCTGTTCTAGCCTCCGTTTTTTGCAGCAGTCTGTGAGAAAGGTACTCAAATACCGCTTAAGTCCAATATTGCTGAACTCAACAGAAAGTGAAACTATATTATATATTTTTACTCTGAATGCTAACATCAGCGCACACAAAGGAGGTTCAAATGCAGAATAAGACACATCAGGAGGGAATATGTTAACTTTCAGGGCTGTAGCTGTGGCTGTGTTAACTGTTATTCACAACAGAGTGTGTTTACAGTAATATGTAAAGTTAAGACTAGACTAAAACCAATGTTCAATTAATCTTTTTTTTTTTTTTTTTAAATGCCTCATGAATGTGTTCAAGTAATGTTATTTAGTATTTTCCTTCTTACTTTTTGATATGTGGTTAAGACAAGTTTGAAATGACTGACATCTGCACCCAACTTTTCTCTGTGTTGTATTGGCAGATAATAGTCTTTTGGGGTAAAAGGCAGTTGTGGCGAGCGGGAGTTGTCTTTCGCTCAAATTCCCTACAATTGCTGTAAAAATATAACCGACATGTCCTACACACAGCCAGTCAACCTTCAGCACTCAGGTGTGACTATACAAAGCAGCTATACAACTTTCTTTGGATAAATAACTGTTAATAAAGTCAAACTAAACATTGACGACAGCTTATGTTCATTATAATGTGATGCATAACACAGGACAACAGGTGATATGAGATTGATGCCTGTCACTTTATATCTCAAATCACCTATTCTGAGCAATACATTCTCTGCTGCTGTCCCTTCAGTGGATTTTAAACTGCCTTCTCAGCATGAACTGGTGGTTTGCAGAGGGCATCGGTATCATTGTCATTCTGAGTTCTCACTGCCACGGTATTTCTGGCCAGCTGTCGACATCCCAGCTGCTCTTTCTTACCCAATACGTTTGTATACCGACACTTGGCTACTACTTGGCGCACAGCAATTCACTGCCCTGATATGACCAGGAAAGCGGAACCAATGGGCCAAATCACTTATATGGGCACCGTCCAGATTTCCCAGCAGCAGCCCTGACAAAAGCTTCCGACACACTGGTACATTTGTAAGATCGGATCTTTTAGGCAATGCCTGCTCTTTCAAAGTTCAAGGGCAAATTACAGCAGTTCACAATTCCACTGCATCAATGAAGAGTGAATGTGTTTTGTTAGTCTTTGGTGTTTTCTTTGTACTGTTAATAGAGAAAATGCTTCAGCTGTCGTTTTATGTCCGTATCACCTCAATGAAAGTAAAGCCTGAAATATTAAGATTTACTCTGCAGACATCCCAACAGCAGCATTCAAGTTATGTTGGATATGGACACACAGTAACACTTTAAAAGGGTATTATTATTCATTATTCTATATTTTTCTTATTGTCCAAAAAATCCTTTAAAAAGGCCATCACAGACTAACAATGTGTTAGTCCCTCCCCTGCTTTTGGCACCCAGCCCCAAATTCATCAATTCCCACTGAAAAGGTAAGTCTTAAAAACGGGTCACAAATACATAGTTTGAATTAAAAAAGGGGCAAAGTCATTTCCCAAAACAGCATGGCACCATTGTTTTTTTTACAAAAGTTAATCAGACTGGAGGAATGATGCATTTTTTGGGGACTATTTTCAGCCTATAGGATTAATACACATTTAATGACTCAAAATAAACTACAGTGCCCAGGTTCATCATGATGGAGAAACAGCGTGGCTCAGTAATGTGTTTTTAATAGTTTTTACAATGGAGGTCTACGGCACAGAGGAATAAAAATACATTACAGTCTATCAGGTTTTAGCTACAGAGACAATATTTGTTCATAGGAACAGATAAATGTTGGTTTTGGTCATTTCATGGGATTTGTTTACAATAAGAAAAATATATAGAATATTGCCAAAATTATTCTTTAAATCATGTCATTTTCAGATTTAATGTATTCTCTTAAAAAAGGGAATCTGTGTTTCAAAAAGACAATATTATGTTTGAGTAAGATGAAATAACATTATACCTAACAAATGTATGTATTTAAAAACTTCCACTCAACAAAATGTTAAAACGTGACACATAGCCTAAATATTTAATAGTTAAGACTCTTATTAGGCCAAAAAATGTATTTGAATGAAATAAACATTCAACAATTTTTATCAGATTTTATTCTAGTGATTGCCTAGGGGCCTTCATTATAGAGGGAAATTAAGAGCAGCAGGACACTGGATCATGTGACGCAGAGGTTAGTTACAGTGAATCTGACCCTTTTTAAGGCTGCTGGGCTCCTCAGGGTGAGCTGTTTGCTTTGTTGTTGTTTTTTACAAACAGCTCCAAAATGGACAAACAGGAAGAGCACTACCTCATCTTTCTTTGTATACCATTTTTTTTTAAATGTATACAGACAGACATAAATATGTAATTTTTTTTAATACATAGTTGTGTGAAAAATGCAAGATAAATCCCTTCTAATTTGTTGTGTTTGAGCATCTAATAATTTCCCCATCCCGCCTCCCACTGTTTCCACAGCAGAGATGCTACAGGGCTTCAGAGAGAGGGAGAGAGAGAGAGAGAGAAAGAGAGAAAAAGGTGATTTACAGCAGCAGCAAGTCAAGAGAACAGGGGTGAAAATAACTCCAAAGACCTTTCTCTGCATGAGAGTTTCCCATCTGTCACAGACAGTCACTGTAATTCAGCGGCATTAAATCATGCCTTTGTACTACTAACCACTCAACACATCCTCTATATTATCTGCTTACAGATGTTTTGCACCAACGTTCTTCTTCAAATGGAATCAACTGCACTAATCTGCTGGTTTAAGGCCCGGACAGAGCTGGTTGGAAGCAGCACCCTGTGCCTTTAACCAAAAGATACAGCTGACTGAACCCATTTTCCATTCACTGTACTCCACTCCACTCCACTCCCCCTGCTCCCTTTTTTCCCTTCTCTTAGCCCCAACCGTGGCCGTCATCAGAATGCAGGGTCTGTCCGGAGGACCACACACAGAGTAATTATTAATAAGAGAAGATGACAAGTGAACATCCCTCCTGAATGCTAAGAGATGCCAGCGGAGACTGGAGATGGCCAGCCAATTCCTCCCTCTGGACGCTGGAAGAGGCTCCGCTTTTTCACGCTGAAGCCACTTGCATGAGGGTCATGAGAATATGCAGGTCCCATCCTGCTAATCGCATCCTTCCATGCTGAGATGCCCTTTGCATAAGACTGCGTGTTCATAAATAGAGATTTACGATTTCACACTCTCTCAGACACGGTTTCAAACAAGGCTCTGGTGGTTGTTATACTCACTGGTGGTTGCTCATGTTGAGGTCTTGTTGCTGCAAATAGACGTCCACACTAAATGACCCCAAGTGTGAAATGTGATTTCACCACTGCAGAGACCTGGCTCATACCACACCTATAGAAAATATAAAAGAACAGTGTGATTACTACGAACAAAGGAAATTATGAAGCAAATTATGGGCAATCTCCAACCGCTGAGCAAGATTGTGAGATACGATTGGAAGCTTCAGAGCAACTGCTGTTTCCAAGGTCAAGGATGAACATTTAATCTCAGAATCATGAAATATCTATACAGTTATGCAGTACAACACAAATGCATGCAAAATGATCAATGAAGTATCTATGATTATGCTGTTCCTGAAGGCGCCCTGTCCTAACTTCAGCTTTAGCTATGTTCAACTATTTTCCTGGGGAGCACTAAACTGTAAAGGATTTTAAATCTCCTCCAAAATACGCTCAGCTCCGTGAATCAGGGACTGAGGAACATCACACCTCTTGCATAGCAAGTATAGCAGGATGCTAGCTCTTTGTGCCACGGGATAGAGAGCCATTGATGTCAAAGTCCGTTCAGTGAAAGCCCACTCCAACTGCTTTGCAGGGAACAGACATGACACGAGCTGACAGGAAAATCCCAAATGCATAGTTACTGCTCAACACGTAATGTCCATTATTACAAACAAGCCCAGTTCTCAGTGTTGCAATGTAAAAGGAACACTGAAACCAGCTGTCAACAAGAGATGAAGTTATGACTGCAATGCTTATATATTTGCATCATTGTTCACACCTTCGTGACTTACACCATATTTCATGGATTCAGAGAAGCGTGTGACACACAGAGGCACAGTGAAAGCCTTCAGACATGGAGAGGTGAGGAGTCAGCATTCACAGCCGCAGCAGACCACAGCAGAGTAATGTAGTGAAGCACAGCAGATTAAATGCTACTCAGGATAAATCAGCACAGGTCATTCAAGGGCTGAGAGTGACACTGTTTCACTGCAGCACCCAACACATGTGGTCTCTTGCATTATACTCAGGAAAAAATATATTGATCTGGCGATCAGATGAGCTGAAAGTCACACAGCCAAAACACTTAACAAGGTGCTTGCCTTTCTATAAGGAGAAGCTAAAGGCAAGCGGCATCAAAGATTGTTTCTGGATGTAATTTACTGCAGAGCAAAGTATTTCTGGAGACGAGTAAATCACAGTACCAGAGAGATTGAACTTCACAATCATCATCTTGAGCTGCCACTTATTACAGTAAGTGATTCATCAGCGGAGGTGGCTATCCACAAAGACAATTTTTACTATTATATTTCACAGAAACAAGCACGGTGGGCCATTTCTGCAATTCACCTAATCAAAGTGTATTTGCAATAATTTCCCACCAAGTCGTAGCTCCATTAACAGTTATGGTGCTGTAACATTTTCCCACTGTGCTTAAAGGCCACACGGTCTCATTCTTGTTCAAAATCAACACAAATGCATCAACCAGCCTGCGCGCTTTTAAATCAACACCGACTCGAAAAGAAACACAGAAAAGACGCACTAACCTCGCATGTGTTCTACATTGTGTTAAGTGCGGTCGTGACTCCTTCGCCCTCGCAGTGATGTTGGTAATATCTCCCTTCTCGCCGATAATGATGATCGGTGTGAGAGAAGCTCCGATCTTGCTGTGTGTAGGCTGCGATTCCCCTGAAATGTGCGTTGGCCAAGCACCCGTATCGCCTCTCAGAAGACAGCGCACGACGAAAACACCTACTCCGGACTGAAAGCAGCATCCTTCAGCGGAGACGACGACGGCTGTTACTGAATCGGGGAGATAACGACATCTTCGGAGGGAGGCATGATGTGCTTGCGGGGCTTCCCCCACAATCACACCAGGGACTCCATGTGCCCGATAATAAGAAGAAGAGGTTCACTATCGGGAGCTGTCCAGGTGCTGAAAACGGGATTCCAGGGGGCTACAGATGTGTGACGAGCAGCGAACGTCAACGCGAAGGATCTGCACACACAGTAATATCTAATGTATCATATAAGTAGTTAAGATTCCTGTTAAGAGCCTGCAGACATTCCTCTTTCTATGCCACCCTAGAAGCGTCGATGTTGAAAAACACTCTCGCTTCACTTCACCTCTTGAGATTCAGAGTTCCTCGCGATAACAACCCATCCGCACGAAAAGAAGAAAAAAAAGAATCACTAATACTCAGTGACCTCGAGTGTTTCTGTGGTGTGTTTACGACCAAGTCTGTTGTATTGTCATTTATCGGGCTGCAGCGTCACTGCGATATTGACAGTTAGCCTTGCTGAGATATTTTAGTTCTTAAAAAAATGTAGCGCAGGCATTAGGCCCTGGAAACGCATGAAATAAAGGATAAGCGGATAAAAGAATGGCAACAACATATCTGCCTTGTCATTGTTTTCAATGAATGTGCTATCACTTTCAGATAATTTACCCTTTTATGAACCATCATGAAAAGGTAAAGCCTTTTGGATATACAGTATATATATATATATACACACACACAGGAGGAAGGGTTGGTTGTACTGTTGTCCTCAATTCCTCAATTCCCACCGACTCGTATATTCTCCTGCTGTGACAATAGGAGCCTTTTTGTATTCCTGTTTTATTATGTGTTCTTATGGGCAAGCCTGGTTTACACTGTATTATTTACGAGTAAAATTAAATTACTATAAAGATAAGATTTTACATACTAAACATGATCAGTTAAAATATGATCCATTGGTACTGACTAAAGTGGTAGTTAAAAAGTAGTTACAATTAGCTCCATCTTGACCAAAGACAAGATCAAAGTAAGACTTAGATACAGTATTAATATATAAATGATAATGATTAAATAGTAATATAACACAGTGTAGCCACTCTGCATTATGAATCTTTTAATTTTTCCTTTAAGTAGATTCAGTTGCCAATACTTCTATACTTTTACTTGTAATTGAGTATTCTCATATGTGGTATTACTTTTACTTAAGTTAATAACTTGAATAGTTCATCCACCACTGGAAGGCAGTGAACAATTAAAAATGACAGTTGATGAGTCACCTAACGGTTCCGGACAGTAATTATCTGTCTGACGGAAGTGTTCATAGACTACTAAAACGTTGCATGATTCCATTCATGCCTTCTTTGCATACCAGTCATTCAGTTGTTTCTTACCAAACCCAAACACGCTGAGCTCACATGCACAACAGGTGATTTGCTCAGTCATCCTCGCATGATGCAACTAAAAGAACAAAAACAAAATATAATGTAGTCAGTCTTAATCTGATGTCAGCTCTATTGCTCTCACGACATTAAATGACACCACTTATCACACACACACACACACACACACACACACACACACACACACACACTAACAAATGACCTAATCAAGTAGTATCCTGACATTTAGCTTGCCATTCACAATGTGGACAAACTGCAATCCCAACATTTTTTTGGGGCGAAGGGAGGAACACGCCCACATGACAGCATCTTCAGGTAAAACAAGAAGCAGTTCGGTGGTATCATGAAGCGTCACTATGACTCACCTCTGCAACCTGCTCTAACTACCAAAAGCCGGGATTTCACGAGCTGGTAAGGACAGACTTTTGATCGATTTCAGTCATGGTGATGATATATTCCTCTCACAACGCAACATTAGTTCATGACACCTTTCAGACTTAAGAAACTGTTCGTATATGCAACAGCTTTGCTTTCACTATTGGCATCTGAAACTTCTGGTTTCCTCAGTGGTGAGAAATTACTTCCTTTTCTCAAACACAAATGTTTCTTGTGTTTGCAGGAAACAGCTCGAAAACAACATTCCAAATGATGGCAGGTAAAAACAAAATCATTTTAAGAAGCGATTATTCAGCCACGTTAAAACTATCATTCCTGAAATATTGTTATTATGTCTGTAGATCATGGAGAACTTTGTAATGGGCAGGAAGCCACCTATTGCATGAACGGAGGGACATGCTATAAAATAATTTCTATGAATACACTGTCCTGTGTGTAAGTAAAAAAAAATTCAATTGTCCTTAACTTTTACGTTGGAATATCTGTTGATGTCACCAGATGGCGGTATTGCTGACAAATGTCCTTGTATCTTAAACCAGGTGCAATGCAAATTACAAAGGCAGCCGATGTGAGCAGTTCCAGCTCTTCAGCTCTAACCCCGATGTAACAGCAGCAGGGTTAATTGCAGCTGTGGTCATTGTTGCTCTCCTAGTCTTAGTGGTGCTGGCAGTTGTTATCTACTACATACGCAGGTAAGTACATTATGGATTAAGGATTACCAAACGTTCTCAAGGCGTCTAAAAATAACATCAGGATGTGGAAGTGTTTTATGTGCGATACAGTCTTGGTATTATTGTACATCAGGCGGAATGTATTCTTTCAAAGCCAATAACCATTACTTTCGTCCACACGTAGGGTGTTGAAAGCCAAGCAACAGAGCCAACAGAACAATCAGCCACAGTATTGGAGAGTAAAACCCAGAGTATGATCTTTCTTCTGATGTACATTTGTTTCTCTGTGAGTGTTGGGCGGGATGATGAAAGAATTCTCAGAGATGAGTGTCACTTGCCTGTTGGACTTGGTACCGTTTTGAGTGTGACTAAAGACCAATAGGCCAGAGGAAAACTGTTGCATTTGACTGGAAAGGGTAAGCTCAGTATCTTTCAACTTATTCTCCCCATGTTTTGTGTCTAAGTGACTAATGGGGACAACAGTTTAAAAAGGGTCCAGTCTTGAGGACCCTACAGAGAAAAAAAACAAGCTTTTTCTTTATCCTTCGCTAAATCCTCTCTCTTTGTTATTGTGTGTCTTGCTCCAGAGAGTCTCGTTCTGTAATTTTGCGTGGTATTATCATAGTCAAAATCAGCATTAACATTCAGCTATGAGATCAAAAATCTTTGAGATAACACTAAGCTACGCTTTATATACTCCAACTGACTCCAACACAACAGTGTCTGCAGCGTTATCCCTCAATACTGGACCAGGTCTAAACAATGTTGTCCCCATTAGTCACTGAGACACAAAAACATGGGAAAATAGAGTCAAGGTTGAAAAACACCGAAGTTGTCCTTTAACTTAAGTCAAGAGCTGACAAACACATCGTGAGATTTCTTGAGTCCATGCTGTTTGCTACAGAAAGGTGTAATTCATTTACACACAAACAACAACTGAGAGTGGGTGGGAATTGAATCACGCCTTGCACAGCAGCCTTTTTAACAAAGCTATTAAGTTGGCGCTGGTGTTACTCATTTTAAATCACATTTCAATCTATGTGCTTTGCCTGAAATGTCCAAAGCATAGTTGGGCTTTGTAATATTATGTGAACTATTATTCTAAATATTGAACTTGAAATATTGAATTATGAAATACCCCTCTGTATCAATCAATATGTTCAATATGCTATTAAATAAATATTAGTTTGTGTTAATATATGCAATGAACCCTCATACTGAAAGATTTGACTGTGTGATTTCTGGTGGGATACTGCGCGCGCACACACACACACACACACACACGATGGACTAGTCATTTTCCATCCTCTAACCATCAGCACTTCATTCCTAACCTCAAACGTTAGCCTATTCTTAACCTAATCCTACATTTGATCTTAACCCCAAACCATAATTGCCCCTTGAAGCAGCCAGGACTGGTCAAGATGACCTCACTTTTCAAAATTGTCTTTACTCTGCAGTTTTAACACTCAAACTGGCTCTCACAAAGCTGGACATGCACGACTACACACAGGCAGCAAACGTAGCGACACACTGTGTGCGTGGGAGTCTGTATAATTAGCGTATCCCAAGCCATTCATCAGTCCTATAAATCTAAAAACAGGGGCAGAGGAGATCCCAGGAGTCTTATAATGAAAATGGTGGCATCAAATCCGCGAGGTTAAGAGACAATTCAAACTTGTTGGACTGGATAGACAAAAGTCTGTTCGTCTTTCCATTTTGATGGACTTCCAAGTATTGTCAAACAGCTGCCAACAACAAACTGTAGGAGAAAAAAAGCTACATTTGGACTGCCAACAGCTTAGTTGTTCTCTGAATTACCATCAACAATCTATCTCTGCATCAAACTCATTCAGGCATCAACATCTGGAATGGTTCTTGTTCCTTTAAATACAAAGACAGGATTGTACTTGTGGTTGAAGTACATTTTAAGACTCAAAAGTTGGCTCAGCAGTGAATACACAAAAAAATGTGACCCTATTGATTATTGATAGAAGTGCAGTATTAGGTCAACACACAGCAGAGTTTTCCCCAAAGCACGTCATGTTGCTATGAGAAGATATACGTGTTCAGGGTGGGCCCTAAAAGTCACTACATGGGATGTAGAGACTTTGAAGGGGTACCATGCGTCTTTAAAAAGCAACCAACCTCTTTCCATTGTATATAAAATGTTTTTATTTCTCTCAAATGCAGAATTACAGTTATTACAACACTGTTGTATTAGCTTTTTAAAAAGGTGGAGATGCATGAACCTCTGTATTAACCCGACAAACCGATGCCATAAGTCAGTGGCTTCTTTTTGTGTGTCGAGTTGCTGTAAATTGCTTCCACCGAGTGGCAGTATGCAAGGGTTGTAATGGAAAGTAAGTGGAGTTAAATTCGCAAATAGATGTATCAAAATGTCACGGTTTTCAAGGTTGATCTGAAATACTTCTCAGTAAAATGTGAAACTCGCACTTCTGTAAACAACCGACTCTTACAGGCGTCTGGCTTTATCAAACTCGTGTGCAATTTTCAGTGCTGTGCTGTTGAGTCCAACCGACTGCATGTTAGTGATGATGGTGACCACCACTCCCTGAGGGAGGAGAGGGGTCCGTCCTTGGTTCTCATCTATCTCCTCACTGGGTAACACCAGGAGCACGCTGCTCGCCCCCACAGCGCTTCCTGTGTGTGACACATAGTGTCTTCGCTTCCTGCACTGCCCGTATTTCTGTAGTTTCTCCACTACCAGCCAGCCTTGGGCATACAGTCCGTCCTTGTCCCAGCTTGCCTCCGTCCTGTCAACTGGTGACCAAAGATCGATGGCAGTTTGGGGTTTGAGAAAGCCAGGGAGAAAGCCCTCGGTGTCCTTCAGGTGGGCCACCTGGTAGCTGTAGAGCAGCGCGTTACCGAACAGCAGCAGGTCACCCACCGTGGAGAGGAAGCCGCCTCCTGCCCACTTGTAGGAGTTGTCTACATATGGGCAGTTCATGACACGTCCTCTCTTGTTGAGGTGATAGAATCTGTGGAGGAGCATCAACAGTTGATATGTTGTGCAACCATGTCACTCGCTACCCAATCAGGACTGGCCATGTTAAACTCCCAACAGAGAAGAAAGAGAAGCGAGGCGTCTCGCTCGTCAGCTCCAGAAAAAAAAAACGATCACCGTGTCTGAAATCGATGATGACGTCGTAGCTCATGAGTGAACCAACGTCGCTTCTTTCTTGTCACTGTTGAGAATTGCACATGCGCAGTACAAATCGGGCAGGGGTTAGCAAAATGTTAGCATTATGTCTATATTTTACACTGTAAGATCTGTCAAACTAGATAATAAGAGAAAGGCATTCATAGTTACTGGAACCAGTATCGGAAAAGGAAAATAAATGGTACCTGAACATCTTTACACATCTCCCCTGTACTCATTTGTGACATTCTGCCACAGCGATTGGGCCACAGCTTGACATCAGTGTCCTCACACATTACCTGGAGCGGTGGTAAATAATAGGGTCGTTCTCATCGGGCACAGTATTCAGCATTCCCAGCTCGTGGAACATGTTCGTCATGACATCCAGGAAGCGCTGTCCAGCAGCTCGCTCCACAGCAGCACTTAGCAGGGTAAAGGCGTGGGTGGAGTACAGAAAAGTGGTGCCTGCACAAACAGAATCGTACTCATCAAGACATTGACATTGTATTATACATGAACGGTTTAGCGAGCAGATATGTGCTTTACCCGGTTTGAAAATGAGTAGGTCGTCCTTGAAGAGGTCCAAGGCCTCAGTGACACTTTCAAAGTTGTCCTTCAAGTAGTATTCCTCGTGCTCAAACTCTTTTTTCTTCTCCTGAGTGGCTTCTTTGTCTTTGGTGTTTGGTTCTGTTGCAGGTTTATCTTTGTTTTCAGGTGAGCTCTTTTCATCTTCCTTCTTCGCTGGCTTTAAGAGACGCTTAGGTTTCTCCTTGTGCTCCTTCACTTTCTTTGCATCCTTCTCGTAATGCCGTATACCACTCAGGTGGGACAGAATCATACGAGGGGTTATTGTGACCTGCAATGAGTGACGTGCATGTGAGCAGAACAGCGCGATACTACTCCTGATAACAAGAACACTCTGCCATTTCGTTCCAAGTGACTTACATCCTCTCCGCTAAATTGTTTCTGGGGAAATTCTGGGACGTATTTCTGGACAGGCACGTCAAGTTGTAGTTTCCCCTCCTCACACAGTCGTGCGGCAGCTGCAGATGTGAGGGGCTTACTGATGCTGGCGATCCGCATCACCGTTTCCGGGCTGCACGGCACGCGATTCTCCAAATCAGCATAACCGATCCCTGAATCACGTGTTAAATGCATCACATATACACATCAAAGTGTTTTGAGAGGAAGATTCCATGTATTGCAAATTTAAAACTATTTATTGTGAAATAAACAATAGCAAGTTATTTGTGTCTTGTGTTTTCACTTGTTCCTAGGTTTCTCCTAGGTAGTAAGCCAATGATGGGCGCATTTAAAGCCGACTCTGTAGGCACACACCTTCACTCCAGACTTCAGCACCATCCACGGAGACCCCAACCACCAGACCAGGAGCCCCGACCTCAGTCTGAGTGACAACAGACGAGACACAAACACTGAAGTGAAACAGGTGAAACCGAGGTCAGGCAGGGAATATAAGGAGAACCCCAGCAGTGCATAGGCCTACCTCAAGGCTTACCTTTACCCTCTCCACAAGCTCCCAGCTAACTTTTATGGCATCGCTGTATCGACCAGTCCTCTGTGCTTCTTCTGCTTCATCCTCACAGGAAGTGTTGGCTGTGTCATCGCGGTATTTCAGTCCGACAGCTAGAGCGACCCCCACAGCGACCCCGCATATCCAAATCCTGGACTTTGACCGGTATTTAAAAAACGCTGTGTTTGACCCTCCGACATACCGTATTTGCTGTTGAACAAATACACTCGGCTTACGCTTGACTCGCGCTCCGGCTCGCGATGTCAGCAAAGGAGGCCCGCGCGCTGTTAGTAGGGTACATTTGACACAAAAACCATTTGGTAAAAGCAGTCGTGACATTGTTGGATATGCTGCTTCTCTTCTCTTATTTTGGAGATAACTGACCGTTGTTGTTGTTCTTCTTCTTCTTCTTCTTCTGGTTTTACGGTGGTTGGCGTCCAGCTTATCGGTGCATTAGCGCCACTTTCCGTGGAGTGTGGATCAGACAAGATACTTACAATCTTTCCATCAAAACAAAACAAATCACACACACAAAATAAAATACCATACATACCACGTTAACCTATATATTTATCCTCCATGTTTTACACTCTAGACCTATAAAATCCTAGCATCTGACAAGCACCTTCAACTGACCCCTGTTCTCCACATCCCTCACACCAGTCTGTCTGGCATTTTCAGTGTTTTGGTTCGCGCACACTGGATCAATTGTCAACACTGTTTCCTCTCTCCTGTTCAAACTACTTTGGTAACTTGGACACGATATACATGTATCCTTTTATCTTCTCTGACCTTTTTTGCCACATTTGGTGGATTTTTCCCCAAATAATACACTTGACTGCTTTACTGATACTAATTTGCATATACTTCCTTTCTTTAAAGCCCTCTTTGCCAACTCATCTGCCCTTTCATTCCCACTCACCCCTGCATGCACTGGAACCCACGGGAACTTAACCTGACATCTCAATTAAACATCAACTTGTTTGCATGGTTGAGCCAGACTGAATTTGGCCCTATTGACACACCACCTCCCACCTCATGTACAATATGTATGCAACCAATCACCTCTAAGTTTCCATATAGTACACAACACACAATACATGACAGCTTCTTTACTTGCTCTGAGACCAACCATTACTCCTTGCACAAATAATACTGACACCAGGTTCTCAGGGACAACCAAAATAAAAACATATTATATGATAGGACTTTTCAACAAGACGGAGCCATGAGATCAATTTTACAGGACGCACCTGGCGATACCTTAGTGCTGATGTGGGCCTTTTGGGTACCCTGGGTGGCTGATGTTCCATTTTTTTATTTTTTTTTTGTTATATTAGGTATTTATGGTTTCATGTTTGTGTCATGTTCAGGGACATCTCACTGAGTAGTTGTCAGGATACAGGATCATTTAGCCCTTAATACATAAGCAGTGGCGTTTCAGGCGGACAGAATGGTGAGGAAACTACTATTTCTGATGGGTTCAGAACCAGAAAATTACACAATTTAACATAATGCACAATTTTGCCTTTACCACACAGTTTAACACCTGTTTCCCTCAATTTGCCGTTATACTGCTTAATACCCCGTTTGTATGCAAATCATTAAAGGAAGAAGATGTTCATGCCCAGTCACAGTTAGTCAAACGTAGAATAAAAAGAACAAAGACAAGAAATGAGATTGATTTAACAGCTGAAAGGTTACATGACACGCTAGCTCGCAACGATGGCTTTTCACAACTTAGTGATGTGGCTTTTCAAGTAACTGCTACATCTGAAAGCTCTCCCACACATTTTGCAAGTATAAGACTTCTCACCTGTGTGAATCCTCATGTGTCTTTTAAATACTGAAATGTCACTGAATCTTTTGCCTCAGGTCTTGCAAAGGTACGGCTTCTAATCCATGTGGGTTCTCATGTGGCCTCTCAAGTGATCACTAAGTCTAAAGGCCCTCCCACATGTTTCACAGATATATGGCTTCTCACCTGTGTGGATTAATTTATGCGTGTTCAATGTTGAAACTGCACTGAACCTTTTCCCGCAGGTCTTGCAAAGGTACGGCCTCTCACCTGTGTGCGTCCTCATGTGGACTATCAAGTGACTGCTAGATCGAAAATATGTCCCACATATTTCGCATGAATACGGCTTCTCATCTGTGTGTATCATCCTGTGTCTCTGCATATATGACCTATATCTAAAACCCTTCCCACATACTTCACATGAATACGGCCTGTCATCCGAGTGTATTAACCTGTGTCTCTGCATATATGCCTTATATTTAAAAGATTTCCTACATATGTCACATGGGAAAACCTTTCTACCTTTGTGAGTATTACAGTGAATAGTTGACGTACTCGGATTAAATACATTGTTACTGTCAATTTGGCCTTTGTGATGTTGAATCTGTTGTTTTGGCTCTGCACTGGTTGATCCAGAGTCTCCATGCTCGTCTCTTATCAGATCTTGGCTCTCAGCTTCATGAGCGCTGTTAGAGTTCAGAGTGTGATCATCGTCACTGTGGTCACTTTCCTCATTAATGGGGATCATAAAGTCATCAGTCTCCTGCTTCAGTACAAGCCGCTCTCCCTCCTCACTGGTGCAGAGTTGCTCCTGTTCCACTTTAATCTGCGGAGGTTCTGGGTCCTCTTGGTCCAGACTGGAGTTCCTCACCAGAACACAGAGCTGCTGCTGGTCAAAGAGAACCTCGTCCTCCTGAAAGACGTGTTGCTGTGGGGGCTCTGGAGGGTCGAAGGACAAAAGGAATAAGAAACATACGGACATCTGAGCAGAACAATATAACCCGTATGTCTTTAATGCATTAGGATCCTATATGAGTCATATTCATCCGTTAGCTTTTTAAACACAATGAGGTTTTACGCACCTATCCTGTGTAACTTCATTTCAGGTTTCCAAACGATATCCAACAGTCTGCGCTGACGTTGGATCTCTTCCTCGTACTCCACGATTGCGTTTTTAAACACTTCGAATATTTCATCAGCTGCAACAGTTAGTCGCTCGTTGACAAACTCTCTCAAATCCGGAAATACTGACATAGTTTAGTTGCAAACGAAATAAGTATCTATAAGTAGCTAATTCAACACCCTCATGCAAATGTTTCTTTTTTTCTTCTTCTTCTTCTTTTTTTCCGGTTGCGGTTGGCATCCACCTTGTTGGTGCATTACCGCCACCGTCTGCTCCGGAGTGTGGATCAAACAATAGACTTAAAAATGTATCCCTCCCAAAAAACACACACATTTACCACGTTAACCTATGTTGTATCCTGCTATAAGACCTACCTAGACCTGCTATAAAATCCTAGCCCCTGACAACCACCGTTGCACCCCATCCCTGCTTATCCATAATATCCCATAAAAACATACCCTGTGTCCCTTAAGGTTGGGGCATTGTGCACGAAACAAAACACTGAAACTAAAGTGGAAATACGTGGACGAGCTTGTATGAGGGATGTCAGGAAGAGGAGTCACTTGAGCATTTAGTTTTGAGTTGTGAGTATGGGAGGCAGAACGAGATGAATAAAAAATAGAGTACTACGCACGGGTGAGAGAGCACAGATTAGGTAATGTTGGCTCTCTTAACCATGTCCACACACAGTTTCCTTTCTCCTGTGCCCACTACCCACCCTACCAACGTTGACACTCTTTAGACTATGATGTAGACGTCTCCCTTTCCCTCATCTGTCCTACCTTTCTACTAATTTGCATAGATCTATATTACCTTTCTTTACAGGCCGCTTAACTAACTCATCCGCCCTCTCATTCTCTACATACGCTGGAACGCACAGGAATTTAACCTGACCTCCCTGATTAGTTATTCTTGTGGCTGACTGAAGGACTTCATACAGTATGTCTTGAAGCCTGTTTGAATGAAAATACTTTAAACTTACTGGGCTGTGGATAAGTCGGAGCATATCAACAACTATTCCTGTCTAGTTTTTTTCCTGCCATTGTAGTACAACCAGCACTGCCAGCCTCTCCACTGTGTAAACCCCTAGATTATTGGATGCTCTTCTTCCTATTCCTTTAGCTGGTATTGCCACCCCATATCCTGTCACTCCTGTCCCAGGTTTCTTAGCAACATCCATGTAAATCTGTAAATGTATGTAAATATAGTGTAAATCACTATACTCTTTCATTACATAAAACCAAATCAAACCTCTAACAAATACCAGTCTACAGTATATCACGCCACGCAAGCTCCATGGAGCCACCACCGGGTAAACTACTTTGCAATGTCAAACTCCCTTTGTGTCCTGTAAATTAGCCCAATAGTTTGCCATCAGTTGCATCCTCCTTTAATCCAGCAGCATACCTCGCATTTCTACCTGCAGGACAGGTGCTGGCGATGTTTTAAATGCTCCACTATACTCTGAATGCCTGAGCCTGAATCACATCAACTTTCCCAATAAGAGATTTGGCTGTATGGAGCCAATACGCTATACTGATTACATAGATCTTGTCAAACACACATTGTTTTCAACAATGAACAACTGGCTTCCCATTCCCTACCAGTCATCACATTTATTACTTTTTTCCTCAATTTTCCTGATATTGTCTGCTTAAGTTAACCGTGAGTCAAAAAGAACTCCCAGAAATGTTCCAACCCTTTCTAAGTCTTACCCATACATCCTTAGCTTCACCCCTTCTGTCCTTAATTCTTTTCCTGATGAAAAGTAGTTTTCTTTTCCTTGGCACTGCATCAGGTTTGATTCATTCACTCAAAAATCTATTACGGCCATTCATTTAGGTCACCTCTAGATGGACAAAAGGTGATGTATACATGACAAACAAAGTTAGAACATTTTCAAAACGTGCTTTTTATTTTTTATAATTTGTAAATTTCAGATATGATAAACACTTGAGACATCTACATTAATACAATGCTAAAACAATGCACAACCAGATGACTGAAATCTATACTTTATAAACATGATGAAACAATGTTGAACCATGGTTTTAAAGGATAAGACTACACTGTAATGCATTAGCATGTCCGGGCATTGCTTAACATTACATTAGCACCAGTATACATGATGACAGGCATAGCCAATTTATACTTACACTTGTTATGAAAGTTTCTGGGAGGAGGGCATGTATATCTTTTTAAACATAATTTGTCTTACAGAATTCATGTTAAACTAAGTGCAAAATGTCTCCACTTTGTCCTTCTGTATGTGCATAATCTAGGTGGAATGGAACGAACCAGGTCAGCTTCAATGCAGTAGAAACCAATCTTACAAATGTCACTTCACCAAATGACTTGTCAAAAAAAAAAAAAAAACTATCTCAAGGATTGCAAAAGGCAGACATCATTACAAGATTAAAAACTGGCTTGCGAACAAACAATATTGTTTCTCAGTTTAGGCTTCATCAAAGGGAATGCTTAAGCTTTACTTCCCCGTATCTTTGCTCCTTGGTCAACTTCCGCTGAAGGCAGGACGGTGTAATAGGAAATGTATTTGGCCATTTCATCTCCACCATGGGCAAGGTATGAGAAGAGGGGTTTATGGTAAGCAAGGTGCATGTACAAAAAGCCAAAACCACAGTGCGTGTGGGGTCAGACCGTGCTTTCACAAATTATTCAGTTCCATTAGAGTCTGGTCCAGCATCTGGTGCATATCGAGGTTCTCTTCCTTAGCTTGTGACAGTTTCTCTGTTAGAACATCAAATGAAGAAGTTATAATCTCACACAAGCAAGCAAAGTCGAGTGGTTAGCTTGCATTATTAATCAAGCTGGCTACATCGCTAAGGTCAGTCATGTAAATGATTTAAACCTACACTTAATGGACAGAAAACAAGAGCAACACATTGAGTCAACAAGCTCATATTATGATGTGCAAGCCACCATGCAAACAGGTTACAACAAAGTTCTCATTAATACACATAAACACAACAATCCATAAAAAAATATTATTGTATTATATCGTAATACTAGGCTGCAAGACTATACAATATAGATTTGAGTTAATCCCTGATTTTCACCATACTTCAATTATATTTCAACAAACAGCAACACAGATTTCAAGCAGTGCGGGCATCGTACATGGACAATGCAAACGGAAGAACTTTGGATCTTGCTCTGGATCAGATTGTCACACACACATTAAACACAAAACCGTAACAAACACGTAAAACATTCACGCAATTTAGTCCTCATTCAAGGCCACGCGCAGTTCGTTAGTGAGAAGGCGGTTTGTCTGAAGTTGATGGTGGAAGCGATCTTTGCAGTCAGAAAGCAAGTAGAAAAACAGAGAGAGGACAGGAAATCAGAGGAAAATAGGAAAAGAGAAAATGCCCGTTGACACCTACCTTCTCCAGGCCATCAGTTACTTTTTTTAGTCTTTATAAAACACACCAACAGCTATCTGAATAGCCATTAAATAACACAATCAAACAGTGTTTTGATGTTCTTGTTTTGAGAGGGGCGGTTGTGTGTAGAGTGAAAACAGAGAATGAGCAAATTTAAACTAAAAAGGTTAAAAGGTTAAATGGCAGCTTAAATATAAAACCTTTAAACCTGGATAGGGTGGGAACAAAATAGAAAATAAAATACTAAACTACATGTATATCTGACATTTTGGTCATACCATTCTCCATCAAGTGCATCTTATCATCCGCTTAAATATGGCGGATCAATATCCAAACTGAGAATCAACCAGTTTGTTGTGGTCTGACAATGTCAGAATGTGGCTCACCTATTATTCTGCCGTCCTATTTGAATTATGACATCTCAATACACACACCACCAGAACATTGCTTACTTCCGCTTATTGCTCTGGAGATATGGGGACAACTTTAATAAAAAACACTCAGAATATATGATTGTTTGTTTATTCAAATATATGACAGGATACTGTGTATCATACAAAGCCCAGGGTTTCATAATCACTGATCGCAGTTTACTCCAATTTTTCCAGCAACCAGATGAGGCTCAACAAATCTTACATACTGTTCTGTACTCCATCATGACACCCTTTACTCTTCTACTTCACCACAATCTTCCCGATAACAATCCAACACTAATTCCCTACAATTCTCAAATCTTTTCCAGTCAGCTGCTCCTGTCACAGTACTAAATGTTGAAAAGTGCTCGCATGCATCAGGCTCAAACGCTAAGAGAGAAGACAACTTGGCTCAGCTTTCAGTCCAGTACCTGCAGTTGTTTTACGTGATCATGGCACTACTGTGATATTCCTTATAGCTCAGCTTTACAGAAAAATATTTGAATAAAATAAAAATAACAAGAAGAAAGAAAAGCTGGGTGAAGCTCAACTAATGGGATGCAGGGAAAGAAAATGAAGATCATAACTTAAAATCAAGGCTACTTGGCTTTATTAGAGCCACTTGAAAATAAATAAATTAAAAAGAAGAAGAAAAAAAAAAAGGACAGAGTAAAGAGATACAGCTTACATAGAAGGAAGGACGTTTATTTTTTACACAATGCAGAAAGATTTTAGGTGTCTGTACAAGTGATGGGATGCAATTAACTTTGACATGAGGATGAAAACACGAGGAGGAGAGGAAAGCAAAGACAGAGAGGGATGGGAAAATTGAGAGATGGCTGGAGAGAGCAGACAGATGCCGCTTAGCCGACAGGAGGCATCTTTGATGAGGTGTGAAATATTTATCTGTGTGGGAGAGAAGAAGTACAGTGAACCAGGGGGGTCGGCGTGGGACCTACGGGAATTTGAGATGCACACCACAATACACCAGAACCACAGGACTCACGGCACGACACGACACAACCAGAATTCACAATGGCAGTGCATTGTGAGGTGGCACACACTGGCAAACACAACCAACTCCTTCCTCTGATTACATTGAGACCTTTCTGCTAATGCACGAGGAGCACCGTTTTACCAGATTGATGCTGTGCACTTTGTTAATCTCCCACAGAATGGCCAAATGTTGAGGGACAACACTAATTTAGCAAAACTGGAGACTCAACGACAGTGATGCTAAACTGTGACAGTTGTGGTGACCAACTGGTACAACGACAGAACAAAGGGGGATCTTGCAACACTCAGGGGGGCCTTTCTTCTGGACAGAAGTAGACCATGTTAGTAGAAGAGGAAACATTCATAACCTGGAGTTAGAATCGGATTCATTGAAATGCCCTCGTGATAAAGTTAACAGCAATTCAATAGACGATTTCCATGCATTGCAAGAATGTCAAACTATCATGTGAAAATATAGTGTTTAGAAATGACTATGAATCTGTAAAGAATGCATGGACTGACATAACCAGCAATGCATAACATTACTCAAGTCCAGTTTACAGTATTCTTCAAACATCAATGATACTGATACAAAGAGCATTCAGTATCATAACCACACAACAAAAAAAAAAAAAAAAGAAGTGTGATGAGTTGTAATTATTGCCTGTGGACTTCAATTACACAGACACGGAAGACCGCAATGTCTGTTTTAAGATGTCAAACTTTAAGACTATATAAAAACATAGCTGCATAACTACTTTTAAGTGTAGGAACAGATACAAGGGTTGGATGTACTAGTTATGATGGGTATGAAGGAAATATAAGGGAGGAGATGAAGGCGAGGTAGCTGGTGTACAGGTAAACAGAGGTGCAGGGAAGGGGGGGGGGGGGGGGGGGAACAAGCAGGCGCAGCAAGTTGAAAATTACATGGAGGTCATGTCGTTGAGGGCGTGGTCCAGCTCCTCGCTGATGGCCTTGTACTTCAGTTTCTGGGCATACAACTCATCTATTGGTGGGCCAGGGGTGCAGGGGGGAGGGAGGGGGTGAAGGTGAAGGAGCACATGGCAAGGAGGTGAAGGGTGAAGCATCCAGAAATATTGACGAGAGAGAGAGAAAAAGATAGGAAGAAAAAAATTGAAAACAGGGGAAAAAGAGGAAAAACAAGTTACACCAGAAAATGACAGAATGGAAGTGCAACAAAAGTCAGGGGAAATTCCTCAGCGCCATGAAGAAATGGAGCATATCTCTCACTCTCAGCCCTCAATCACGACTCCTTGAACACTAAGTCAACATTTAGGCCTGATAGCTCTGATAAACACCAAAGCCATTCTTTCCTACCTTGAAACTCAAAAAACAAATCAACTAAACATAATAGAAAAAAGGTAAGAGTCACCACAACAAAAGTATGTTGCTGTCTGGAAAAGAGCCGTGACGGCATTAAAAGGTAAGCAGAAGTAGAGTTCAAGAGCGAAGCAAATAATAGGCTGAAATACATTTTTTTTTTTTTTTAGCCCTGATACCTTCAATGACACAATAACCATTTCATAATAACCAGAATAGCATTCCGGGGTGAGGGGCAAAAAAAAGACATACCTTCCAAGTCATCAATGGTCTTCTCAAGCTTGGCTACTGATCTCTCAGCGAACTCAGCACGAGTCTCAGCCTGTGTAACAGAGACAGATGTATAAGTGAGTCCAACACTCAAAGTGACTTGTACAAATCATCCTGGAGTCAGCCTGCAACCCCAGATAAGGCCTTGTGAAACTTTACCTCCTTCAGCTTGTCAGTGAGGACCTTGATCTCCTCCTCGTATTTGTCCTCCTTCTGAGAGTACTGTGGGACAAAAACAACGACAGGTGTCAAACACATGGGCATGGAGTCAAACTCGGAATGTCCTAAGTGCGTAAAAACACATGTCTATAATTTTTTACAGCTGTGGATGGATTATCCCCAAGGCTCCTCTGCTCCCCATCCCCCCCAGTCTAACCGGGAGCTGAGGGGGTTTGACAGCATGCACTCGGTCAGAAGGCTGCACTTACCTTCTCAGCCTGGGCCTCCAGTGACTTCAGGTTGTTGGTCACAGTTTTCAACTCTTCCTCAAGCTCAGAGCATTTGCTGGTGTTTTAGATGAGGGGATGAAGTTGCGAAGGATAAGATGAGGGGGGGGGGGGGTAGTGGAAAGGGCAGGAAACGAGGATGGACAGAACCAGAGGTGGACACAAACCAGGAAGAAGGAAAGTAATAAAAGGGGAGAGAGGAAACAAGATAAATAAGAACTACAGGGATTAAACGACGAGGGAACCCCAAGTGCCTTAACAGAGCCGGATTGTGAGAATAGAAATGTGAATCTTGTGATCACACAAAGAGTAGTGGGTTGCAATGTAATCGTTAATTTGGTTAAAGCTATTTCCGCATCTAAATATCATGCTTTCTCTTAGATGTGAGGTGTTATTCTTGCACAGTCTCTGCCATGTTAGAGACGCGAAAGAGTCGAACTACCCCGAATATAAGAGCATAACAGAGGAAACAAGCGCAGCAAGCAAAGCAGAGGGGACACTTAACAGCATGAATGACAGTGAGAGGAGCCAGTCATCAAAGATATGTGTTAGTTTTTGTTTGTAGTACCTTTGTGACTGAGGAGTTTAGTGATTTCATGCTTTGCTCCAAAACCCTTAGCTCATCGTCCATTCTCCGAGCCCGTCTGTTTATGGGTGCGGCGTACATGTGCAAGCCAAAACCATTCAAACCATTGACAGCATGCAAATAATGAATACACACGTTATGAACACAGGGCACACTGTTCAAATGGATACGAGTCTTGTACTTTGTGTATTAGTGCTGAAAGCTCAACTGTTGAAATTGCCAGCGCACGTGCAAATGTGAGTGCAGCTTTGGTGCATGTAAAGGTGAACCATCTTACCCCTCGTTCAGCTCAGCGCGCTCCTCTGTACGCTCCAGTTCACCCTCAATGATGACCAGTTTACGGGCCACCTTTAGGTGCAGCACAACAGAGTGTTACAACGCAACACCTGACTAACACAACTAGGATGTGGGTTACGTTTTTTTTCCTTAAAGTGTGGCCAAATATCTAATATTTTAAAACTACACTTGGTAACACTTCACTTTAACCCCCATTAATAGGAATTTATAAGCATGACATAAACATTTAACGAATGGTTTATAACACACTATAATGTAGTTATAAGTATATTTAAGAATGTTTTTGTGTTTATTCAGTATTTTTAACAACTATTACTTCTTCTCGGAAGACACATTTGATATTATTACAACTACTTGTGTTAGAGTACCTTTTACTTGAAAGTGAAAGTACTAATACGTCTGTAAAATAGTGTATTGTAATTAGGAAAAATATACTTAAAAGTATCAAAAGAAAAGGTACTTAATAGTCTCTCAATAGTCTCGTTTAACCAACTACTTGTTTCAGCTCTAATAGTATATGTATGTCGTGAAGTAGAAAGTAATGTGAAATGAATATACTCAAGTAAAGTACAAGTACCTCAAATGTGTACTTAGGTACCGTACTTGAGTAAATGTAGTTAGTTAAACTCCCCCACTGATTACGATTGTGTTTTACTTTGTTATCATACACCAGAAAAATACAGGAACCATGTGAATGGTGATTTTGGATTAAAACTTCGAAAGGTTTGTCATAATTGTGTAAAAATGCTTCCTTATCGGATCGTAAAACATAAAAAAAGTTACATTCTATCAACAGATTAAGATATTATTAAACCAATATCTTGGAACTCAATACGGGTAACACGTCTGTCACACAGTTACTGGTTGCAGTAAATGAGCAACTGTGTGTTCGATGTTGCAGAGGTTTTTTGAGGTGGCTGCCAGTGGCTGAAAAACTCGCCTCCTCATATTTGCGGTCAGCCTCCTCAGCGATGTGCTTGGCCTCCTTCAGCTGGATCTCCTGCAGCTCCATCTTCTCCTCGTCCTTCATGGCCCTGTTCTCAATGACCTTCATGCCTCTGTGTGACGGAAGAAACAGATCATGATGTTAGGAATCAGGAGCTGAGACCTGACCAGCCTACAGTCTCCCCGAGGACACACAGGTCTAGTGCACAGTAGTGTCGGCTGGTAAATCTTTAATATGTCCTTCCAAAGTGAATAGCTAACTGTTTTCTGACATGAAAAATAGATAAAACACTGAATGTATGGATGTTAAGAAATGACTGCACTATTGGACACAGCTAGTGTGACAGTGAGCTGTGTGATATCCAGCTCTGCAGCACAGAGGCTCCGCTTGTACCCCATACGAAGAGACAGGAACACAGCCCCGCCACCTGGTCTCTGCAGCGAGAGAGCCAGATCAGAGGTCTGAGTCATAAGAAACCCACCTCTCGCTCTCATCAGCTGCCTTCTCAGCCTCCTCCAGCTTGGTCAGGGCAGTGGCCAGACGCTCCTGAGCACGATCCAACTCCTCCTCAACCAGCTGGATACGTCTGTTAAGGGAAGCGACATCGCTCTCAGCCTAGGGAGAGAAGAGGAGCAAGTGAGGAGAAAAATTAAGAGGTCGACGTCTTTAACAAAACAGCCTGGAAATTACGCCAGTGCATCCGTACAAGTCAGCCCAAAGAATGAACGAGAGGTGGTGGATTGTAATTTTTTGTTTTATGCCAGGTGGGTGACTGTAATCGCTGTTGTGCAAAAGTGTTTACGTATGCAACCTGTTGGGAAAAGCCCTCCTTGTACCAGTGCTCCTAATTGACTATTTATAATAACAATGTCCCAAGCTGACAGCAGGTTGAATACCCTGCCTCATTACTAGACCCCTGAGGAAACATTAACACGGCTCAAGTCAAAGCGAGACAATAAACTGTATATGACTGCTCTCATGGCGAAGAGGAGACTCCCTGGATAGTTCACAACTGTAGGAGACATTTAAGTGTAATTCAACTCGTCACATGTTGATCCAAATAGGGGAAATTATCTGGTATCTTGAGAGAAAAGTTACTCCGCTTTGATAGGGACTTGAAAAAGGGCAGACCTTTCCTGTGATTATTCAAACCTGTGGAGTGACTTCTGCTTCATGACGGCTGTTCAGCCGGTTTGAGGCTCTGAAAACAGGCTACAACCAGTGGTTTGACGGTTTCCCCTGCAGTTCACGCGTGAGTGAGCAGTGGCGGACCAAAGTGCATCGGCGGTTGTGAAGCAACAAGGAAGTACTAATAACCTATAAACTGAAGCAATATGCTTTCAACCCCATTTCAAACCCCTCACGGGTGATTAACATAAAGCCTGAGATAGGCCCAGACTGCTATAAGCCCCCTGCAGAAAGATTTATTTCCCGTCTAGATAACCGCCGCTATGTTCACACGAGGGTGAAATCACTCTTTGGTAGCTGTGCAAACCTATTGTCCTTATAAGGGCAACTCAAAGAGCATGCACACTCACAGAGCAGACTGGCACCCTAAATGTTACCACGGATTATTTGTAACTTCCTGGTTGCTGAAAATGATCTATTCGCATGTTTAACCTTCCGTTGGCGTGCGTGCACAACCGAATAAACAGGTTGAATAAGGACCGGTAACGGCATCAAAGTGCATCAAAGGAGACGCAAGTGAAACACAGTAGCGATATGACGCGACGCACTGATGCAGTGTTCCGCGTTCTTTCCACGTAATATGACTTGTGCACCGGTGGCCTAACGTTACCAATTATAAACGCTTAGCCGAGAGCAGCAGGCTATCAAACCCTCGGCGGAGCAGGCTACTTTGTGGTGGCTGGCACTGCATGGAGCCGTGTAAAGCTCAGCTTGCAGCACTGCGGTTGCGTCAAGAGAAATCCCGCTATATCACAGGGTCGCCTATAATTCAGCGGAACAAACACGCACACAGGAAAGGCTACAAGAGGAAGATGTGCGATATTGGGTTTAATAAACAGCTCCTCTCCGGCTGCACGCGCGGTAAAATAAAAAAAAAAATGCTTACTTGTTCCCTGGCATTCCTCTCCGCAAGTAACTCCCTCTGTAATTTCTCGGCTCTCTCTTCAGCACCGTCTGCCTGATCTTGTAAAGATTTGATCTTTCGTTTGACTGCCTCGAGCGATGTAGCCCCGGCCATTGTTTACTCTGCAACTATGTTAAAAGAAAAACTAAGAAAATACGCTCTGAGTGCAGCACAATTTCCGAGTAATTGTCAAGGGTCGAGATGACGTTCTTGATTGTGCTGAAAGCTGCGTGAAGACTGGACCGCGCGCAAAGCTTTCTGGAGACGCTCTCTGCGATGCCTGTCATTTGTCCAGGAAGTACTGCTGATTTCAAAAATAGACTTGCAAATTAACTATTCTGAATGATTGCGCACTGAAAGATTTACACTGTGGAATTATTGCGGATTGCCCCAGGAAATAACATCACGTGAAATTGAATTGATGCAAAGCAACAATGCATATTTAATGACAAGAACACACCCAGTCAATACACTGTAATTAGCCCGCTTGTAGCTATCTAACAGAGCCACCGCGCCATCTGCTGGTCAATTGTGAGTAGTGCACATGGCAGTAAAATACCTCTACCGACTACAGGCCATTCAGTAAGTCTGCACCGAATACAGTAATTACAGACTACGCTTTAAACTTTAAACTTAGCAAATATCACAGAAGACCCTTGAAGAATATGAAAGGGGGGAAAAACAAGGCTATAAAACACTAAGTATAGTTCAACTTGTTTGAGCACTACAGCCATACTTAAACCTCCCTACATAGAAATATTAAGAAAAAAAACCACAGCAATACATGGGCCTACAGGGAAAGAAATACAGCACCAAGTATGACAGATGTGGCTAAAACTCACCAGACTATAGTCACACTAATGCCTAACTCCCCGGAGGAATCCAATTAAAGGATTTTTGACACCGGGTTATCCCCGAGGCCACTTCTAAACCACACTACAAATTGATTCCCCTGATTGACTCTTGTGAACAAAGTGTCTGCTGCACCGGACAGTCACACTAACTCGGGCATTTACAGGATTCTTTTTTTTGTCGTGAAAAACTGTTTCCGAGGATTTTCTCCAAAAGCACGACCTTTAACATGCCTAAATTGAAATTATTTACACAGTTTAGTTGTCATGTATTCATCCGAAGGGAATTTATTTTAAAACACTAATTTATTTACAGCGTTTCCCCCTTGTGGTTAGCACAGAGCGCAGCCTGCAGTATGAGCTCCATCTTGACCATATAAAGCAGTGGGGCTATATTTATCCAGGCGCCTTGCTCCATGCGCTCTGAGAACGACTGCGCATCAGGACACTTCTCTGAAAGACACTTATTCAGCCTAAAACCTGTACGACTGAACACACCAAGACCTAAAACACAACAGAAATATAGGGTATCAATGATATGAGTTATCCTACGGATTAATTGGGTTTGAAATAAATAATGAGCTTTGCAGTTAAACAGCCAATCTGACTTTCTTTGGGCAGACTTGTGAGGGATTGTGCATGTGCCCATTTAACACAAAGCGACAGTTCAACAGTAATTGGACATTGACTCTGTAGTCAAGTTTGAATGACTACAGAGAGGGAATTCCCCTTCCCTGTGTTGTTGAACTGTCGCCCGTCGGAGAGTGAAGAGAGTAAAGGTGTGAAGAAGCGTGGTGTAGAAATGGTGCCATTGTGAACCCCTTCCTTACTCACATCGGCTGCTTTCTTCTCAGCCAGCTCAAGTTTCTCCTGGGCATCCTTAAGAGCCTCGGAGTACTTGTCCAACTCATCCTCAGTTCCCTTCAGCTTCTTCTGCAGAGCTAGCAAATCGTCCTCAAGCTGAGGCGAGTTTCAGTTTCAGAGGTGATCAGCGAGGAGTTGCGTGAACGCGCACAGGCGCGAGAGGCGTACAGAGAGACACACAGGAGAGGACAGGACAGGACAGGAGAGGACAGGACAGGAGAGGGGGAAGAGAGAAGAAAAGTTAGGGAAGCTCATGCACGTCAGGATCAGATACCTTGGTGGCGACCTCCTCAGCGGTCAGCAGCTTTTCCTCAGCAGTTTGGAACTCCTCAAACACTTTATCTCTTTCGTCTTCAGAAAGACGCAATTTCTTTTCCAACTCTCTTATATCGTCCTCTAACTATACATGCATATAAGAAAAACATCATACAATTAAACACATTATACAAATTAACATGCAATTATTTAATTAATAATCAAACATATTTCTCTCTAATTTACATTTTCTAAATTATCAACATGGTTTGGCTATATTTACATCATCAAAACGGTTGAGAGGAGGATATATAGAATCCAAGAAGGATGGATTATTCTTAATTTAATCCTTATTTGGGCTTCTCCATGAAAGTAATTAATCCGTATTTAGGAGGTGATCCATTTAAAGGACAGCTGCTTTAAACTTCTACTGATATTCCTGCTTTTAAATCTTTGTGATTTTCCACAGAAGAAAAAAAACACATCAGCCGACCTGTTTGCTTCTGTCCTCTGCTGCTTTCTTGTCTCCCTCAGCCTGCTCAGCTCTGTCCAAGGCATTCTCCTTGTCGAGCTTGAGCATCTGCATCTTCTTCTTGATGGCGTCCATGGCTGCTTATTGCTGTTCGGCTCCAACAAAACGTCCAAATGAAAACCAAGAAGGAAATGGGAGAGAGGCTTGGACGTCTGTGCCTAACTGAAGACTAAACTGGAGTACAGGCGCTGCCTGACTGTGCCCTGTCAAATATGTACTTCGAAGGGGGGGTGACTGGATTCCTTTGGACATCCAATACTTTTTCGGAGGGGGCGTGTGAGGGTGCCCGGGCGTTTTTTAACTTATGGCTCTGCTCCGCGATTCGTTGCTCCCAAACATTTGACTTTTGATACGCCTTTATATGGGATGTGATGGACAAGCACGCAGCTCCCACGGAGAGGCTTCCTAATGGTAGTGTTACAGAAGCCATTTAATGCATGGAGAACATGCAGATGAAGCTTACTGTATGATGACAGCATAAAATATCTGCATGACGGTTTGTTTTACCACTGTGGCAACACATTTAAAGGCAGCATGCGGTATTTGTCTCTCTATTGAGTGTCTCTTGAGTTTTTTTTCTATTTCCAGAAGAGTATTACTGAAATCTGGGATACTGTTTGCTGTTCATGTAAATTATCTTCACAGTATTCTCTTTTTCATTTGTGTTTTTTGTCCTGTTACAGGCCGAGTGGGACTACAGGCAGCTGCTATAACAGTTTTACCAGGTTTTTGTCAACTTGCAGCAGCTGGTGTGTGTGTGTGTGTGTGTGTGTGTGTTTGGGTGGGTGAGCGTGGTAGCTCAAGCCAAATGTACTGTTTGAGTGGAGATGCTTTCGATAAGCCCATCAAGCCCTAGTGGCATTGTTCACAGTCTGGGGAAGTGTTTACCTGATAATGTATCGGATATCCTCCCTGTAAACTGTTGATGTGTCATTTGACTGTGGGCAGAGTTTTATACCTCAATTACAGCAGCTGAGCCGCTAATTGACTTGGCATTTAAGAGATGTTTACTGCTATATAAAGTGCTAAAGAGGACTATTTCAGTTTATATGTAGCACATTTATTAGTAGCTTTATTTCTGAAATGGTATGAATGTGTAATATTATATTCTATGCAATTCTATGATATTCTGTTATTACAATGCATACATTATTAGTTTATTATTAGACAATCCAATAATCCCCATTTTTAAAGATATTATGAAAATGCACTGAGCTAATGAAACGTTAAAACACACAGCTGCAGCGACTGAGGGACCCACCAAGTGTCTTCTAGTCTTCACAAGGCTCCTCAGGGATATTTTTAGGACCTCCTTCTCTTTCTTGCACCTGCCTTCGTCTGTAATATGGATTCACGACTGTGCCAAGAGGGCAAAGTCCAGTGCTATAAGATATGTTCCCCAAAATAATTCTTGTCTTGTTCAGACTTTCGTCTGTTTTACAGATTGTTATTGCTGCCGGCTGACTTTCAGTTGTAAAACATGACCAATATTAGGAATAGTGTTTATAATTTTCTCAAGATATTGTCCAGTTAATTTAGGCATCAGCCTGGCCTTAGACTTTGATTGAAAGGCTCAGTAATATAAACAATATTTAGTTAATCCTGGGCCAGCCCATGTTCTAATAGACTGGCATTTGTATAATTGTGACTGGCATTGAAAAGTACTGGTCACAGATCAGGCCTTATTTTTGTCTGCTTTTCTCTTTCACTGGATCAAAATTGGTTCATACATGTGATTTTCTGGAGGTCTTTTTCTTTTTCTCAACTTGCTATGAGTAAAAAAAACAAAACACTAAATGTACAGAACTTGGAGGTTACTGCTGCACAGAAATGGCTCTGAATATGCCAAGATAATGCATTGCTTACCAAATAAAGTCATTTACTTTCTCTAATGTATAAAGAGGGGTGTTCAAACATGTGTTAACATGTGAGATATGCTGACTTGTTTCTATTTAATACTGTGTGCATATAGTATTTTACACTTTTGTCACATTGAATATCTTCAGAATTACTTGTCTTCATCAATGTCTTTACATCGTTGACAGAAAGCGTGATTTGCAATTTGATCTTAATTATCTTAAACAGCCTTTCCACGTAATGGACTCCGGGGAGGTTTGCAATGGTACACTGGATTTACTGTGGCATTCTGGGAATGAAAATGAGCTCCATTATGATGTTTCCTTTACTGCACTGGTAGTACAGTAAAAATAGCCCAGGGCCCAGTACGCTTGCTTTGATTAAAGTAGTCTCAAATCTCTCCCTCTGTCCGGACGTTATTGAAAAAACACTGCATTCTGAGTTACATTGGAAAATGAAAAGCTCTCACACCTTAAGATAGAGCAAAAGGACATAAAGCATAGTGTTCTTGCGTTGACTACCTATAATGAGAACAGCAATAACAAAGTATTTAATATTTAAAGCAATTTTTAGGCTGTGGTGCTGTTCGGAAGACAAGAGTTTCTTTTTCGTGGCTGCTTAAGTAAAAAAAAAAAAAATCTCCAGACATATAATTTTGTGCTCTCTGAAAAAAAATATCTGCCTCTCAAGGCCTCCAAAGCCTTCTGCCAGAGGAGCCAATGAAAGCATCTGAAAAACATTTAAGTCTATGTCCTATCATCTACATTTTATAGCTTTTGTATTGGTACTGAAACATGAAAACCCATTAGATGTCAACTAATATGGAACTTACTCGTAGGAACAACATGAGTTATGAACAAATAAATGTTTGTCATTTTACTCTTGCTATATTTTCTTCTGTCCCAAATATTTGCCAACAGTCACATTAATGAAGAGTTGATTGTCTTCAGAAGGCTGTGTCTGTGTTGAAAACAGTGATTGCATGAGCTCATTGAAAAAGCCAAGAATCTTCTCAATGTTCATCCTCAGAGGTGGCAAACAGCTGACTTTACTGAATGACGAATTAATTCCTCACAACATACTGTATGTAAAAACAGACCTGCCATCAGACAACAATTGCCCATTTTCTGGACAGATCTAAGATCATGTCTACATGAGGCAACAGCTGATTGAAACAGGTGCAGCAATGAGCAATGAATTCATATATTCACATTCACTAAGCTATCATTATATTCATTTTCCCACCATGTGAGTTATGGCAGCCATGGTCATATACAAGGTTGTCAAAATTACGAAATACAGAACGACATTAAAACACGAGACAAGTCTGAGGCCACGATAGTATTTATAGCTTTAAGTCTCAAGGGGACAGAAAAGTCAACTGAGACCTAAGAAACCCTCAACTCTCAGACTTTTAACTCTGTTACTTTGTGGTCTTTAGGTGGTAGTGCAGTTTGTCCTCCTGCCAATTGAAGTGAGACAACAGCTTTCCAAGAGCTTTAATGCTAATACTGTAACCCTGTATTAGTTAATCTGTTAGGCCTACAGTGACAACCCACTATGCATAAGGAATGTCCAGTTCTCCTCGGTCGCTGCTCAGGGAGGAGCTTGGCTGTTGTGCCTGAAATCATGTTTGCGTAAGACTACCCTTGGGAGATACAAGTAAGGCTGTCTCATGGCTAAAATGTTACTGCATTAGAGACAGTATGTCTCTGCCTCTGTTGAGTCTCAGTCACAATACCTGTCCGATAAAAAAAAACGGAAAATCTTAAACTGTTTGCTCTTTACTAAAATCACATAATTTATTGTAAAGCTATAGCATTCTGACATGTGTGTGGTTGTTTTCTAATGACTGCAACGGATACAGAATAGCAAGGGAGCACTCAGGGTAGCTGTCCCTCCATGTTGAGAGCAGCCACCGAGTGAAACTCTGAGAAGCACAGTGCTGGCAGGTTCCTTGTCAAATGCCATCTGAAGATTTCTGCAGACATCGCCCAGATATATATAGAGAGAACTCCTTGGCTCTTTCAGACTGTACTCCTGGAATTAGATAGCTCCATGCAGGGGCATAATCATTTAGCATAGCAAAAGCGAAGAGAGGGGGTGCAACCCAAGCTGTAACCCGAGCCCAGTCCATGGCCTACTGTCGCTTGGTTTATACACAGTAATGTTCCTCAGCCATATACTTCTTGTAAGACTCAAACTAGTATATTAGAGAGCACAGGTGGACATCTAATCACAACCACAGAAACCAGTACAGTATTCTACTTGATAGATAGTTGCATAGAGGCTGTGACACTT